TGGAATTCACTATGAATTTTTTATGGTTAATTGCACAGCCTTTAATGTAGCCTTTCATTTTGTTAATATTAATTCCTAGACTTTGGCTTTTATAACTTGACTATTTTGGTTTAGTAATTCTGCGCAAGGCCAACATTGGGATCATGGGAAAGATTCTCATGTGGGTCACAGCATCACTCGTAGGGATGTGAAAAGTTCGACTCAACTCCAAGTCAGACTTGGGATCAAGTCCTAATAGTCATATACATATTCCAATTTTAATATCATGCTACGTACAATGAAACAATCAACTATGCATGCAAGAAAAGTTAGTATATATTTTTTTACAATTACTGTATGTGCACATGGCATATAATATTGCATGTGACTATTAGGACTCAGTCACAAGTCTGACTTAGGACCGAATCTAAATTAAAACTTGATTTCATTGGGTCGAGTCGAACCAGATGGGACTTTGTACATCCCTAATCACCCGCATACTAATTAACCTGTATACTTTTTATTTAACATGCATGCTTATTATTTTAGGAAGAGAAATTTTTTTTTTTAATTCCTTCCGAATATATTACCAATAAATTAATTTATGACTTTTCCTTTTTGGTATAATCAAGCATCTTAACTAAATTAGTATAGTAATTGTTATATGAGTTAGTGTATACTAACACAAGGCTAACATGATAGCGTGAGGCCTTTATGTAATCTAGTATATTCTTTTTATATTAAATGAAATGTATAAAGTAATGTAATTATTTTAATAAAGAAAAATTCTGTTTTATTGTGAAGCATCAATAGTTATAATAAAGGTGAGTATTACTTTATATTTTTGTAGTTCATAGCATTGTAGTTAGCCCGTTTGATACTTAACCTTCATAAATAGTAGTAATTGATAGCACTTACCGTTATATAGATTCGGAATAAATTAATGCGCTAGTGTTATAATATATAGAAAAACTTATAAACTTTAACAAGAAATTAATATTTATAATGTTCTTTGTTTCTATAATTCGATTTGTGAAATATGATCTTAAAATTATCTTTTTTTTGGTATTAAAGTTAAAGATCATAATTTGTCAAATTTTTATGTTACTATCCTTTGATCGATTAATACTGTTTTCGTATTACTAATTTAAACACTCGTAGTATAAATACATCTCTTAGTAAAAGTATCATACATATAATTTTAAGGCGCACGTAACTTTTCATAATCTGTTGTTTTATTCTATTTGATAAAATATATGTTCTTTTTAATTCAATCAAATTACTATTTTTGTATTAATACTTTATCTGAAAACATGTTATATAAAATACTGGTATTCTATAAATGTTGACTTTCTTATTATGATCTACGTTTCACGATGATGTGCTATCTAGTTTTATATCTATATAAATTAACCAGATTAACCGGTTAAGCATAATTTATTCCGAGATAGTATCAAGATAACAGTTTCCGGGTTGTCAGATAAATGGGTACAACTTCTAACTATGTGTACCAAAAATAACGAGAAAAAAAGCTAGAATCTAAAAGAAAAAGAAGCAGAAAGTTAGTAAGTTATTATACTGTATAATAAAAAAAAAAGTGATATTTATATAAAAAAGAATATCAGAAAGCAAAACCAAAAGTCTATTTCGAAGATCTAATCATGGACACTAAAAATAATAAGAAAGAAAGTTAGAATCTAAAAGAAAAAAATTAGTAAGTTATTATATATAAAAAAAAAAATAATGCCAAAAAGTGAAATCAAAAGTTTATTTGAAGTTCTAACTATAAATACCGAAATAATGAGAAAGAAAACTAAAATCTAAAAGAAAAAGAAGCAAAAAGTTAGTAAGTTATATAATAATAAAAAAAGATATTTATAAAAAAGAATACTGGAAAACGAAACTGACAGTCTATTTTAAAAATCTAATCATAGGTATTAAAAATAACAAGAAAAAAAACTAAAATCTAAAAGAAAAAGAAAAAAGAAGTTAGTAAGTTATTATATATAAAAAAAAAATGATACAGTTGGACCTTTCTAAATGCAATCTCCATAAATGCAATACCTCCTAAATGTATGAAATCATTAGTGCTAAATGCATATTCTATATTTTGCAAATGCATGTTCACTCAAAAGATTTTTTATATCATACTAACCTTCTTAAATGCACGTAGCCAATCAGAAGGCAGTATTTAAGTTTGTTACACAAATCTGCAAATCAAATATTAAAAGCTGCAATTTGATTGGCTCCCTCTAAATGCAAACCTCTCTAAATACATGTTTTAGACTGGTCTGTACATATTGCATTTATGGAGGTTTGACTGTACTTATATAAGAAAGAATACCAAGAAGTGAAACCAAAAGTCTATTTTGAAAATTTAACCATAGACACTGAAAATAATGAGAAAGGAAATTAGAATCTAACAAAATGAAGAAAGTTAGTAAGTTATTATATAAAAAAAAAAGAATGCTGAAAAGTGAAACCAAAAGTTTATTTTGAAATTCTAACCATAGACACTGAAAATAACAAGAAAGAAAGCTAAAATCTAAAGAAAAAGAAGCATGAAGTTAGTAAGTTATATAATAAAAAAAAAAGTGATACTTATAAGAAAGAATATTGAAAAGTGAAACTAAAAGTCTATTTCAAAGATCTAACCATGGGCGCTGAAAATAACAAGAAAAGAAGCTAAAATCTAAAAGAAAAAGAAGCAAGAAGTAAGTAAGTTATTATATAAAAAAATATATATATATCAGAAAGCAAAACCGAAAGTCCATTTCAAAGATCTAACCATGGATGCCAAAAATAACAAGAAAAAAAGTTAGAATCTAAAAGAAAAAGAAGGAAATTAATAAGTTATTATATAAAAAAAAAAAATACCAAAAAGCAAAACCTAAAGTTCATTTCGAAGTTCTAACCATAGATACTGAAAATAACAAGAAAGAAAACTAGAATCTAAAAGAAAAAGAAATTAGTAAATTATTATATAAAAAAAAAAGAATACCAAGAAGTGAAACCAAAAGTCTATTTCAAAGATCTAACTATGTGTAGAGATTGTACCTGTCAAAAATTTTAACTCTGGGTTACTTGCCCGTATAAAAAATCATTACCGGGTTACCAACCGGGTAACCTGAGTAACCTAGTTGACCTGGTTGATCCAGTTATTTACAGCAAAAAATGCACTGCCATCAGAAAATTTTAAAATAGTGCACTTGGAGAGTGTGTGCATTTATAAATTATATTTAACTCTTATGAGCTGGGGCAAAACCATATCATGCATTTAGAGAGTTTTTATTTAGTCCTTATATTTAAGAAGTGTACGTTTATGGAGTTCTGACTATAACCAATTTAAAATCAAGCAATAATCAACATACATCGTATGGCTTATTTTTTTGCTTATTACAGCTTTTGGATCATATTTGTTATACTCATATTTTATTTTTTTAATTTACAGGTATTAAGATCATGAACTTAGAGGTTGTACCCGTTATAAAATTTAGTCCCTGGTTTATTTACCCGTTTACAAATGACAATCCAGAATATAAACCGGATTACTCAAATTACCTGAATAAACATACAATTTTGGGTTATCCAGTTTATTACTAATCGTAATAAGATTACTTAGAATTTAAATACTGCACAAAAATTATCTCACTGTCGCAGCAAGCTAATTTTTCAAAGTGAAATATTACAGCATCATGATTTGGTTAAGTTTTTTACTCAGAATTATTAATAATGACAACCAAAAGTTTAATTTTAATTTTAATAAGGGGGTTATCGATTACTAATTTAATACCTTTTTTAAACGGTTATCAATACGAGACAAGAAAAATACTATATTGAACTCAATGCTTGTATTTTGATTCAAGGTTTCTTTTTTCACTTATTATAAACGTTATATTTTTGACTCAGATTAGACCTTTTTATTGAGGAATCAATAATAACATAAATATCCTGTCATAACATAGATAGGAATACCAATCAGAGTTGATTTTAAGAAAATAAATGTAAGTTCATTTACTTAATCATTTTTGTTCTGTTTTATTTAAATGCTTTATTCAATAAATTTTATATATTTAATATATATATTTGATAATCATATAAAATTTAATTATATAATGTTAATTAAATGACTGTTTCTTTTTAAAAATAATATTTGAGAAACAGTTTCTAAATTAAGACAAGCCCGTTTTGGAGTTATTTGATTTCCGGTATCGGAAAATAAGCGCTCGCTTGGTACCGAGATAGCAGGTATTGCTAAATACTTTCTCGCTAATTGACTCAAATCTGAAAAGTCTTTTGCATTTTCTTTCCACCATTCTAAGGGTGACTTGTCTTGTAGAGCAACTTTAATATCTATGTATTTGTCTAGTTCATTATCCGTCAAATCACTTTCAATGTAGTCATCTTGAAAGATTGAAGCGAAACATCAGTTGGTTGATGAAGTGGTAGCTGGAGAAGAAGCAGTAGATAAAGGTCTATCATTGGCAATAGTATCGAGTTCTTCACGGCATAACCTAATGGTTCTTTCTCGTATATAGTTAGGCCAAGGATGCATTTTCTTAAGTCTCAGGTCCAATAATGTCACCAAAAGACCTGCATTATTCAGATTTCTCCAATACTTCTGAAGGGAATTATAAATTTCTAACTTGACCTGTAAAATTAACAATTGAATATGGGGGTCCTTGGTAACTGAGTACTGGTATCATCACATTCGCTTTCACTATTATCGTCATCACTTTCGCTATAATTACTTGTGTCAGACTTTAGAA